GCTTGACCTCCCGGTCTTAGAAATCCAACAGCCTCGTAAGATTTTGAAAAACGATTTATATGATAAGATAGGCCCCGTCCGTGACTATCTGCACATATAAGCATTTTGTGTTTACATTGATATCCCCGAGGAAGATAATATCTTTATTTTTGTTTGAAAAGCTTGTAACAAGATGGTCAAAGTTATGCAGAAAGCTATCCAAGTTGGTTGATGGTGATCTATATGCCCCTATAATGTTTAAATTATATTCTTTGTAGTATAGTCCCACAAATTCCGATGTCAGTTCCTCGCAGTGGTCGTCTGTGTTGATTTTGGTGAAGTTTGTGTCGCTGTTTTGTTTGGTTTAGGCAGCTACGCCTCCCCATTTATTTTTGTATCTTGAGAAATTGCTGATTAGGATATATTTGTTACTAGCTGTTGTACCCGTGCTTTGCAACGGGAAGAGGATGCAAAATAGAAACATTTTGATCTTTAAAAAATATTCTATACTGAAGTTTTATATTAAAATTAATAGTAGTCTACTGCGCCCTGTTGGTAAACCTTATAACTTGTTAATTAATATCATAGAACCAACTTGTGTATTTAAAACTGCTGACAAAATTATTTTATTCCTTTTAAATATGATTAATCATAAGGTTAACATGGGAAACTCCAGAGCCCCTGGGGCCTGCCCGAAAGGACTTTTGAGAAAGAATGCGTCTATATGTTAATCGGGAATGTGAGCTATCATTACACCAAATTTCAGCCCAATCCAACCAGTATTTTTTGCGTTTACTTGTCACAAACATACATACATCCATACATCCAAACTTTCTCATTTATAATATTAGTAGGATATTCAGGTTTTGCATTTGATCCTGTTTGAGTCCATGTTCAGCTATTAATAGTATATCAGGTTTTGAAATGTTAAGTTCAAATTCGAGTTGACACAGTTTCTTTTGTAGTCCTTGCTGAATAATTATATAGAGAGTTTTTAGGCGTTTTCCTGTTATGCTTATTTGTTTATCAATTTGGATAGTTTTGTTTATCTTTTTTTAGTCCTTTATGGGCGGGAAATGGCCTTGCAAGTTTTTGGTGGTCTATTTGATAGGTTATCAGTGGTGTTTGCTTAAACGGCTGGTTTTTCTGGGGTTGGTTGCGAGTTAGTGATATAGTCTCGAGTTGTAGGTTGGGTTTGTTTGGGATTTGGACTGGTTATGTTTGATTGCTAGGCGATCACTATAACATCTCAGCTACCTAGCCAGTTTGAAAGCGCAATGAAAGTGAAAGAGTCACAAAACACACTTTATTTGTCTAAACCCAGAAATACAATGAATAAATATAATGAAGGAGTTAAACCCAGCAGCTATTCTTTAACACTTTCCCCAATAAAAGATAATGAGGAATATTTTGGTAGCAAATTAAGGGTCAATAGGCCTGTTTATCTATGACCAGAGGTGCCCACCCTCAGAAGCTCAGGAGCATAACCCTCCCCCCTCATCCTTCATTTCATGCTCTCCCCTTTATCACCTTTCCTACATAACTTAGCCACCTGTCTCCTTCTCACATAACACAAATTTCAAGGATTTACTAAAACTAATTTTAAAACCCATTAAAAGAACAAACCATCAATACAAAACATTATGAGCATTAAAAAAACAAAATTAAAAGGAGGATGAAATAGCCACGTTAATTGTGTACTTTTCAAATGATGAAATGGCTATGCTCATGAAAGAGGGTTAGAAGGGTCTCCTCGTCCAAACCAGAAATAATTAAGTAACCACGAATGCTAGACTAGGTAGCCTCTATGGGACTGGGGAAAATGGAATAGTTTTATGAAATGAAATGAAATCAACTTTATTCATAATTTGCAAACATGTGCACGAATTGCGTCATTACATTGGATCAAAATCATAATACTTAATCCTAAAAAAGTACAAGACATAATCACTATTGAAAATGTTCTTATTCTAATATATTATGTAGAAGGAAATATTCATTCTTTGAGTACAGGGGTTTAGTTAAAAAGTACATTTTTAGCTTATTTTTAAATTTTTTAGTTTTTGTATAGTCCTTTAATTTTATTGGAAGAGCATTGTAACATTTTATACCCATATACATTGGTTTTTTTTTTTAAATCTTAATCTATGGGAAGGTGTTGCATAGTTATTTCTGTTTCTGGTACAGTATTGATGAGAATCCCCTACCAGTGAGACATTATTTGAATTTTGGACAGTATATAATATACATTGATAGATATAATAGCTATATACAGTCATTATGCCTAGTTCTTCAAATTTTTCCTTAACAGAATCTTGCCAATCCAAATTTAACATAATGCGGATTGCTCTTTTCTGGAGAATTAAAATTCTGTCTAAATTAGCTTGTGATGTTCCTCCATAAATACTTATACCAAAGGATAAATGTGAGTGAATATGAGCAAAACAAACCAATTTTAGTGATTCAAGTTTACAACATTTTGATAATCGATAAAGTGCAAATAGGCCTGTTGACATTCGATTTGCCACATGATCAGTATGATAATTCCAGCTTAATTTACTGTCTATGTATAACCCTAGAAATTTAGTGTTCTCAATAATTTGTATATCTTCACCGGCTAATTTTAGTGCTGGGTAATCTGAGTTGGTATTAGTTTTTAGATTAAAGCGTGTAAAATTAGTTTTGGAAAGATTTAATAATAGCTGATGATCTGAAAAAAATTATTGATGTTCATCAAGTTATCGATGGCAGATGTTTCTATCTCATGAACAGCAGATTTTCCGCTTACAAGAAGATTAGAATCATCGGCATATAAACAGATGGTATTTCTTGTTGAATTTGAAATAACATTGGGTAATCCATTGATATATGTAAGAAATAGTAGAGGACCCAAAATAGAACCCTGTGGTACACCATGTTTAATTGTTCTCAACTGTGATCTTGTTGTAACCATCTGGTTATGATTGTTTAAGTGTCTAATTTCTACAAACTGTTTCCTATTAGTTAAATATGATTGAAACCATTTTAGTGGAATTCCTACAACCCCTAGTCCTTATCTCCCTACATCTCTCTGTGACTTTAGGACAATCAACTATTTGCCCTACCACTTTGTTAGGCTTCAAAACCAATGAATATGTATATATTCTATAGGCCTATGTTTTTAAACATAATCTCAAGGAAAATCATTATAGTAGACTGATCTTGAACATTTCCCCCGATTGTGAAGACAACATTATCGTATACACTGTACAGTGATTGTGGCAAAATTAAAAAAAACTCTTGTTTTCATGAAGATATCATTCTTTTGTTATGATGAACTAATGTTAAAAATTAATAGCCAACAAGTTCTTCCAAGTGTATAAAGGGCATGAGTTAAAAAAAAATTTAATTACCATTAATTACAATTTGTAAAGTAAATTCCTCCGAAAATCCCAGAAGTCAAAAATCCCCAAAGCGCAAGTGTGCTCTTTACCCCCTTGGGTACCTCTGCCTATGACTTCTTTTTTTGTTAATACTTTAATACTTTCTTATTAAATGGCGACCATACAAAGTAGGTATTTTAAGCCAAGTATGAATGTAGATGAGTGTAGGATGAGTGGCGCGATCTTGTAGTCTTGTTAGTGACTAAGGCCGACATTCCTTAGACACAGCTGTTAATTAATAGCCCATACAGCTAATGGCAACTAAGGGACCTACAGTTTATAGTGGAATCCGAACCACATTTTTGCCTTGGTGTATACGAATTGGCCTAATTATCAGGATAGTACTGCGGATAGTCGTAGTACTCACTCGTGCGGACGTTAATCCACACCAGGGAGTATCGCATCCACAGTGCATGCCTGTAAATATCCACAATTCGTACTAAAGGATTTTAGAATTTTATGTCACCTTGATTTTGGGTTCCTTTGTGTATTTGTTATTATATTACTTTGAGCATTGTCTCCACAATTGTTGGATTTTAAATTATTAAGATAACCCATCGCTATTAGTTATAACCTGTTTTAGAATGTTTGGTACTAGCGGTTTAGCAAATTTATACTTATAACTGCGGGCAGACAAAATTAAACAAAACGGTTTGTGAAGCTACCAATACCTCTACGGAAGTCTGGGAGGCCTTGGTGTGGTCCAGGGTTGTCCGAAGCAGGTCCAAGAGCGGCATCAACGGGGTGGATGGTAGCTGTCATCGTAGGAGCGGTGTAGACAATAGTGTAGCGGGGGACAAATGACTCACTCAGAAATTACATAAAGAGGGGTATATTGATACATAATAACGTGTCAGAGTTTACAAAAAACAAATTAATTAAATGTTCATTATGGGGAGTTGTGGTAGCGTGCGTCTGGGCGCGACGCCGGTCAGTGCGTGAGTGCCTCTGCAGTGGTGGGGATGCGTCGTCTTCATGAAGCGACAGTAATAGTAGCTCCACAAAATAATATTTAAATCTGAATTTGGTACTAAACAAGAATTTACATTAACAGTAGAACATCTTTAATCCGAACCCCCTTAGTCCGAACGTCAACTAATTTGAACGTCTCATTGCGGTACTCTATACACAGTACAGAAGTTCTTTATTGTATAAGCTACTGTATTTTTTTGAACACACACCGTAATTGTTTCTATTGTAATATACAGTACTGTTTATTCACTATGTCTACTACTGTATTAAGTAAACACTGCACTGTATTTTACTTTAAGCATTTTTCACTTTTCTCATAGCAATTACGATCCATTTTAGCTATTGTTATGTAAAAACAACAATATGTTCTGTAATCCGAATTATTCACTAGTCCGAACAACCCCCAGTCCCAATTAGTTTGGATTAAAGAGGTTCTACTCTATTTTTAAATGTAAGTTTTTGAAAAATTAACGTTACAAGATTTATTATTTCTTTTAGTCCCAACAACAAAATGGACGTGGTCTGAGTAAAATGGTACGTCTGAGTTTTTTTAGTTAAAGAAAAGTTTGCTATGGTCTTATTTGAAATAGGTACTGTACATTATTGCATGAGTGTATTTTTTTCTAGTGATATGGAGCCTCTACTGTCAACAGAACATGTGTTCGATTCGGTAGCAGTTGAAATAGAGCAACTCTTATCTAAGGTAAGCACTTGAAGACTTGCTATAGTAGGATCTTGATTATCCGAGTCCTCGTATTATCCAAGGTCGTTTTGGCCTATATATATCATTTTATTTTTTTTATTTCCAGTCAGAAAAGAATAGTTAAGATTATAAAATGTTTCTGTTGAAAGTAAAATTAAAATAGCAAGAAATATATGATTTGCTCTAATTAATAATTTTAAGTAGCTTATTATTTTAACGTATAAATGATTCGCAGTAACCTAGAAAATGAAAATGACACAGTTAAGTTCTTCAAAACTCTTTTAAAAGAGTTAAGCATGTTTGAGTTATTGTTTTCTTATAACACTTCCTTATTAAAAAAACGTTTCTCTGTAATGGCAATTGATAAATTTGTATACACCTTTTTATATACCTTTTAACTTTCTCAAAACTTAGGTTATACAAGTATTTGACTTCATAATGTTGTACCGTACCTCTAAACTCAAAATCTTAGAGACCTCCATGTTATCCGAGATTATCGGTAACCGAGGTAGTCTAGGTCCCATCAGTCTAGGTCCGCTGTTAATTGAGGGTGTACTGTTATCATTTATAATGTTATAAATCCTAGGTTTTTTTAATTGTACAAAAGTAAGATAAAAATCAGTCTATATTCCCTAACCACCATGAACATTGGAAAAATAATTTACTATAAGTTTTGGGTTGCAGCATAGTGGTTAGAGTGTCGTACATTTACTATGAGTGTTGGGGCGCAGCGTAGTAGTTAGAGCGTGGAACATTTACTACAATTGTTAGGGTGCAGTGTAGTAGTTAGAGTGTCGTACATTTAATATGAGTGTTGAGGCGCAGCATAGTAGTTAGAGTGTCGTACATTTACTATGAGTGTTGGGGCGCAGCATAGTAGTTAGAGTGTCGTACATTTACTATGAGTGTTGGGGCGCAGCATAGTGGTTAGAGTGTTGTACATTTACTTTGAGTGTTGGGGCGCAGCGTAGTAGTTAGAGCGTGGAACATTTACTAGAGTTGTTAGGGTGCAGCGTAGTACAGTGGAGTCCCGATAATCCAAACTTCGGTAATCCAAAAGTCGGCTTAATCCGAAACAAAAAATTTTATTTAAAAATTTTTTTAAATTTTTTATATTTTTATGTAACTTTTAACACAGTTAGCTATACCTGGTCAAAGTATTCTGTAGAGGCCGGGCGAGATAGATTTGTTTAATAGAGTATTTTTAGTAAATATTTCGCCATTTTTTTTTTTATTACCGGTAACATTTTTTCATTTTTGTCCTGGGTTCCAATGCCGCCAAATCACAAATGGATTTTATTTAAGTGATAATGCTGCACCCCCTAAGTCTAGCCTAAAGTAATGTAAAAAACAATCCCGGGTTCGAGCCTAGCGTCCTAAAAAAAAAAAAAAATATTTTTTTAAATAAAAAAAAACTTTTAATCGGAAATATTTGGTAATCCAAAATGGGTCTGGTACCAACCATTTCGGACTAACGGAACTCTACTGTAGTTAGAGTGTCGTACATTTACTATGAGTGTTGGGGTGGAGCATAGTAGTTAGAGTGTCGTGTCGTACATTTACTTTGAGTGTTGGGGCGCAGCGTAATAGTTAGTTGGGGCGCAGCATAGTAGTTAGAGCGTGGAACATTTACTACAATTGTTTGGGTGCATCGTAGTAGTTAGAGTGTGGTACATTTACTACAATTGTTTGGGTGCAGCGTAGCAGTTAGAGCGTAGTACATTTACCATGAGTTTTGGGTGTATCACACCAATTGCAGGCGTCACGAGCAACAGCACAAGTTCTCCCACAACATACTTTTGTAATAGTACTGCGTGTAGCGACCAGTTCTGTGGCCGCTGAATGGTGGGAGCTACGACCCCTTCTGCCAGTTATGCCAGTGTCTAAACCCTTGTCTATGTTCTACCCCATTATTCACTTTCACTGCTTGCTACCTGCTACACATAACCTGCGCCGTGGTTCGCCACCCTCATGTCCACAAAGTGCCAATTTCCCACACACCATTAATTTGTTGTAATGCAAATTGCTATTCCCGGAAGATATTTTCATCAATGTTTAGTACACAATTCTATTACGTAAAATTTATATGATAATGGAAGCAATTATAATAAAGGTATGATTATTTAGTTTACAATAGGTACTTGTTATCAACACATTAAGAAACATTCAATAAAAGTGCTTAATGCATATTTAGGAGCTTCTCAACAGCTTAAATGTTTATATAAAGCCCATCAAAGATGCAATGAACCTATAACATTATCATAAGTTGGTTCTATTATGAAAATAGAGATACAAACATAGGGATACTAACATAAAATAGACATACAAATGCATAGATAAAACCTTCAGATAAACGTATTCGCTTACAAAATCAGCCAAATATTCATTCAAATATATGTGCAGTGTATTATGAATAGGCTACTGCGCATTGAACATACAAATATATTTGAATAAAAATACAAGCATAAAATAAGCTTAAAAATAAAAATACTTTAAAATACAAACTCTAAAATACAATTATAATGGTTTAAATACTTGCATTCAGTAATCCAAAATGTTGCTTGTGGCAACTATAGTTTCAATTCACAGGGAATCATCTTCAGGCCATGCAAGGTGTCGTTATTCATCTCTGTATATGAAGGTCGTCATTTAATAAATAAGTACATAGAACACGAACCCACACAAAAACGCACATTGATAGACGGACATTTAACATTAAAAATACCGAGTACTCGGAGACACGAGACAGGTGACGCGACCGGGTGGAAGTTGTAGCTCGAACTCAAGCCTAGTCCAAACATGGAGACTGAGTCGGCCGACTGTCTGCCGACTGTGCACGGACAGTCGGCAGACAGTCTGTCAACACAGTTTCAGATACAAGTTTCCGATGTGTTTTGCGTCCACACTAGCCAGCCAGTGTTTCCATGTTTGTTGGTATGGTGACCGAGGAGGACGTAATTATATCCTATGCGGGCTTCATTTTTCTGAGCCATGGGCCTATGAATCCAGGAAGAGACTATGATGGACTCAACATTTTCTCGAGCAAGGTTCGTACGATGGTCGCAATCTTCTATCAGACCTTCAGATTAGGTGGAGGATTTAGTAACTTCACGAGGTTGACTCCTTAAGATTTTGAAATTTTGCTGGGCTTTGTTGGTCTTAAGATTTTAAACTTGAAGAGATGAACAATTCAATAAAATGTCATATAATGATATAAATCATTGAAAACTAATTCCAAAACTTTCAAGAAACTCAATCCAGCTCTTTTATTACCGCCCAAAAATCGTAATATTACCGCTTTGCAGTATAACTAAATAGGATGAATATTGAACACCTTCGGCTTGTATCCAGTCTCCTGTCTCCAGACACGTCCACACATCCAGACTTGAGACAAAAGTTTTGTCTCTTGTCTCCGTGTTTCCCATTCGAACGGGAAACAGAAAACACTGTATTTTGTCTCCAGAAACACCGAAATTTGTCTGCCGACAGTCGGCCGACATACTGGAGACAAAATGGCAACATACTGGAGACAGTCGGCAGACAATGTTTCCGCAGACAAATCGCCATGTGTGGACGAGGCTTCAGTTGTAGTATAATTGATTGTTGTTGTTGATTGTGTTGTTGTACAACTGAGTTCGAGCTACAACGTCCACCCGGTCGCGTCACCTGTCTCGTGTCTCCGAGTCCTCTGTATTTTTAATGTTAAATGTCCGTCTATCAATGTGTGTTTTCGTGTGTGTTCGTGTTCTATGTACTTATTTATTAAATGACGACCTTCATATACGGAGGTGAATAACGACGCCTTGTACGGCCTGAAGATGATTCCCTGTGAATCGAAACTATAGTTGCCACAAGCAACATTTTGGATTACTGAATGCAGGTATTTAAACCATTATAATTATTCAAACGTAATCCGGAGGCTAACAACTCTTGAAAACTAAAATACAACTTGCAGATACATGTAATTATAAAAAAAGACATGTACTTACATGCTACTACACCCTCAACAGATTAAGATCGGCTGGGTTGACAGCAAGCTTAGATGGAGAGTGAATATCCAGAAGTGTTTTAAATGCCTAGGTTTCAGCCACCCCTCTCTAATACTGACCAAAAGATTGACGTAGTATACATAAAGTATTTGTCACCTGTAGCCTACTGATGATCTTTTTGCTCTTAATATGAGCTTATAAAACCAAACATTTGACAACTTCTGACCATTTTTTTTTAACAGACTAAAGATAAACACTAAATTAATAAACTTAAGAATAGGCCTAGTTTGAAAAATAGGCCTACCCTATCAACTTATTTTATGTTCATTTGAAGATTTGGAGCAGTAAAAGTGGAGAAGTTCCGGGAAGTTGATAAACTAATATTAAATTCACTGTACATATAGGTACTTATTTACTTACTTAGAATGTAGCCTACTTTATTTAGCCCATGATAAACACAAATTATATATTAATTTTTGATGACCCTATTTATGTACAGAATTGTAATTTTCAATGAACAGAGATATTTTAATTTGATTTGTAACCCTATGGAAGTGGTTGGCTGAAGCCCATGGTCCCTTATACAGGGTGAGTTTTAATTGTCCCCCCCCCAACTTTTTTCTACATTTTTTCAAATATCAATCCCAGACCACTTCCAAACATTGTTGGGTAGTAAGTACTTCATTTTGACAAGGTGGCCATTTCCGGCCGCCATCTTGGATCCGCCATATTGGATGCAAAATTTTTTTTTCAAATGTAAAAGTGGGGTTGTGACCCATTATTTTGAACTAAATTTTTACCCTGATTACAATTCCGCAAACCGTTTAAAAAAATCTTGATTCATTCTAAAGTTATGAGGGCTTTTTAAAACTTTATTTTTAGCCCATTTTAACATTGTGCATTTACAAACTAAGACCATAATCTCAAAATAGTGCTAGATAAAGATAAGTATACACTACCAGTAATTGTCGACTTGTTTTCACTTGGTTATGACTGATGTATTTTTTTCGGCCGCCATCTTGGATCCGCCATTTTGAAATGTGATAAATTATTTTAAATATGAAGGGGGCGTTGTGACCCATCATTTCGAACTACTTTTTTAAGCTGAACTTAATTCCATGATCCGTTTTTCATTTTCATTTTTTGATTTTGAAATATTGACATTTTTAACAAAAAAATTTCAATATTTCATAAATAAAACTTGATAACAAAAAATGGATTGCGGCATTGTCTTCAGCTTAAAAAAGTAGTTCGAAATGATGGGTCACAACGCCCCCTTCATATTTAAAATAATTTATCACATTTCAAAATGGCGGATCCAAGATGGCGGCCGAAAAAAATACATCAGTCATAACCAAGTGAAAATAGGTCGACAATTACTGGTAGTGTATACTTATCTTTATCTAGCACTATTTTGAGATTATGGTCTTGGTTTGTAAATGCACACTGTTAAAATGGGCTAAAAATAAAGTTTTAAAAAGCCCTCATAACTTTAGAATGAATCAAGATTTTTTTAAACGGTTTGCGGCATTGTAATCAGGGTAAAAATTTAGTTCGAAATAATGGGTCACAACCCCACCTTTACATTTGAAAAAAAAATTTTGCATCCAATATGGCGGATCCAAGATGGCGGCCGGAAATGACCACCTCTTCAAAATGAAGTACTTACTACCCAACAATGTTTGGAAGTGGTCTGGGATTGATATTTGAAAAAATGTAGAAAAAAGTTGGGGGGGGGGGACAATTAAAACTCACCCTGTATACATTTTTGGTTTAAGTCGTAGAACTATTCAACAGGTGGTGTTCCTGAACAATCTTCCAAGTTCCTCTTAGTCAGTTCTCTCCTTCATCCTTAACCAAATCACCTTTCCCCTCAACTAGCACTGAAATACTAGGATCATCAAGATATATTTTTTTAATTTTTATCCATTTATTTATTTCTTTATGATATTTACCTTTAACTTTATTTGTCAGTTCCTTTACCTGCTACATCCTAACTAAACTTCAGGAAGCTAATCCAAGTAGCTGTAATGAGTACAGTGTATTAAGTTTTTTTTTCTGTACACTAAATACACCATCTCATGTTTCAGTCAAGATGCATCCATGGTTGAAAATAGAATAGGAATAATTGCTTGTTTACGCAAAGTTTAAACTGCCGTTTAAATGGGTTCTTGGGAAATATATTAATTCACAGAACAGATGTCAGCTGCATCAAAGTTACTAGATTAAGTAAACTGTGGCTCGCATAAACTGGCACAACTACGGAAGTAATAACAACAATTTTATTGGTAAAATTAATGAATAATTATCTTTTGGTTTCAGTTTAAAATTTTGTTTGGTTTCCATTAGGTACACGTTATTAAATTTAAAATAGTGTTATTGATTAAAAGGAAAATAGAAATGCTCAAAATAGCATAGAAGTTTTTGATAAATTTTATTACAAGCACAACAATACCAAAAGAACAAAAAAATAGTTGACAAACGACTGAGAGGTAAATAAAACTAAATTGAAGTTGTCCTCTTAACAATAGGATTTTTTAAAGCTAAACTTTTATAATCGTTTAATTACCTCAATTTCATTATTCTTATGCAAATTTAGTTGCAAATAAACATCGATAATTGTACAAATCATCGTTATTATTTAAAACATCAATGCAACAAAAACATTGGTCACTTTATATCAAAGCTATCTGTAAAACAGTAACAATACGTTTGAAAACTCTTCGCAGACTAAGCTCAATTTTGCCAGAACTTTCTAAGTTGGAAATTGTCCGCTCAACCATTTTTCCTGTTATATACTATACTCTTCCTGCTTTTTCCTGTTGCCTTACTCAGGAAAATCTGATGATCCTTACCCGGCTGCAGAACAGAGTGCTTAGATTTGTCTACAATCTGAAAAAAAATTTGATCACACTAGTGAGCACAGATTGAGTGCCAAGGTGTTGTCAATCATGGGGTACTCCAACATACAAACTGTAAATCTGGTCCACAAAGTTCTTCAGACGGGAAAACCTGAATACCTTAGGAAAAAGTTGGTATTTAGACATGAAATAAATGAGCACAGTACTTGACAGGACAGCCTGTTACACTTGCCAAAGACAAAACTGGAAACGGGGAAGAAGGTGTTTAGTTACTTTGGCCCAAAAAAGTACAATGCTTTGCCACCCACTTTAAAAGAGTAAAGTTGTAATAGGTTTAAGAAATGTGTAAAGGAAATGTTTACCTAAACTGTATGGATAATTTTATTTTTGATTTTATGAATAGACTATTGTATTGTTTTACTTACTTAATTTGACAAAAGTTGTCATGAAAAACAGAGTTTGTACTTTGATGACTTGCAAATAAAGACCTTATTTAATTTAATTTAATTTATCATCGTTGTGGAAACATTGAATATTGATAGCGAAACATCGGTTATCAATACAACGAATGATAGTTGGCTCATTCCTTTATGTTACGCCTGCGATCTAATCCGTGGAGTTATCGCTCGTGAAAACTGGTTAGGTATTTCACTGGGTGAATATTTATTATAGGATCATCAATTTTTGACACAGCTTATGTAGTATAATGTAGTCTTAAGCATTGGATGAGGTGTTAAGGTTATCTCAACTAAACTTTTATTTGTACCTCTGACTCACTGTCCATTGCCTCACGCATATAGGCTACACAACACATATTAATAACAAAATTAGTCAACTAAACTGAGGTTTTATTACAGTTAGCAGCAGTTAATGAAAAGTTAGGAGAAATAGCATCAAGTGAGCAGGCAAGTGGGGGAGGAGCTGCAATGCTTCATACACTGCAGCGCCATCGTGATATCCTTCAGGATTACACACAGGAATTCCGCAAGACACAACAGAACTACCGAGCACGTAGGGAGAGAGAAAACCTACTTCACAGTGTCAAGAAAGATATTGAGTAAGTGTGGCACTATTGAATCTAAAATTACTTTGATACCTAATAATAAAATTTTAATAATTTTTGTAGTTCAAAAAAATATTAATATAAAAAACATTGTCTTCTAAAAATATAATGTGGAATTGAAAAGCCCTGACATTTTCATACAGTATTGACAGTCTGTAATACTGTCTGCATAAGGCCCATGTTAAATATTTGAAAGTTTATATGCATATTATAGCAAAAATTGATTTCTCTTTGCTATACCGGGTAACAATCTTCAAGAACTTGTACTAGACAACATAGTCATACCATATGTATAAAAGTGTTTCTTAGTGCCGATTCCAAGATCAAAGTAACAAATATACAAACTTTCCTCTTATTGTATATATGAGTCTGTCTGAGAAAACAATAACTCAAAGGATGCTGATTAAGAAGCTATTTATTTAACATATTTTTAAAATATGTTTATAGACCTTCCATTTATGAAAAAGAATCTTTCATAGTAGGGCCATTATATTTGACTTAAATTGTAATCTACTTAACCAATTAAGTGTTTCCAAGGAATATGTAAGTAATTTATAATTAATTAATAACCATTCTCTGTCTTTGTGTTTCTATTCGCCCAAAATTTCTCATTCCCTGGCTAGACAAATCAATCTTTCAAAGGCATCAATGGCATAGTGAAAATTCATAAAGTTGGCGAGAGACTGTGACCCAACTGTGCATAAACATTACAATCATTTTAGTAAAAAAATCAACACCATTTGTTACGTTACATGAATCAGCTAGCTTTAAAAAAATTGGACATTAAAAAGGCAGTTAGTGAAATACTAAGTAACCTAAATCCAAGCAAACAATAAAATTTGAGTTGTTGAGAACAATAACAACCAGTAAGGAAAGAAATCCCAACTCTAGATTCTAATTTCAGTTGGCAATCTCAGTAATATTAAATTATCAATCTAATTTTAAGTAAACAACTCCAAAGATACAATTTCAACATAGTTTACCATGCAAAAGACCATAGTCATGTATTTAAATTTAATAATAATAGGTACTTAACAAAACAAGAATATAAAAGAACGTATATCAAAATTTAATCTAATAAAAAATTAAGGAAAGTATCCAATTTTATCAGTTAATCAACAAAATTTTTCTGGTTTATGTTTGCAGGATTAAAATAAATATTTTTGTTGCTTTTTTGATCGAAGGGTTTTACTGAATTTTGAATATATTGTGAAATCAAATATTATTGTTTTGTGCAGCAAATACACTCTTGAAGATTTATCAGCCAAAGGTTATAATATAGCCAATGCCTTGGGTAGATTGACAAGGGGTTCAGCACAATACAACTCTAGGTATTCCAATGTGTGCTTAAGAAAACAGCTTTTCACTATACAATCTGCCATTGTTGATTTTTGCAAATGCTTTTTAAATTTTACGGTTGATTTGCTAAGCTTTGGAATTTCAGGTGATGCTTAGCTGTCATAAAATATCCTGAATTTTCTGTAATGCTATATATATGTATGCATATATGAATGCATCAGAACCCTTCAAACTTACAGGAGGTTATTTATTGACGGTATCATAATAAAATGCTAAACTACCTCCTTGGCCAAAGGGACAGAAACAGAAAGAGAAAACTATGTAAATTGACAAAACGTAAAAACTTACCTCAAAAATACACCCACAGTTATTATTGCAAAGAAAGCCTCATAACTTAAAATACAGCTGAGCATAGGACATAGATTTTATTTCAAGTTTATCACACTAAGCAAAGACAAAATGTACACTAAACAAAAGGTAGCAGTACCTTCCTTAATGAGGAGCATAGGTACTCACGCAGCTTATAGACAATGATTGCTTGCTGTTTTTCTTTAACAAATGGCTGGTCTGCATAACTTTGTATATGGAAGGGTCTTCAATGGCTTACCACCTTAGATATATCTTTGTGCAGGAAGATTTTTCCATTTGTAAATACAGTATGTTATTTATGTACAATAATTTATAATTTGTTTAGTTTGACTCAGGCACACAGTACCTTTATTACTTAGTTAGTCACTCTTTTTACATTACTAGTGTCCCTGTTGCTCGAATTCAAGCAATTGCTAAGTATTACAGGCGTTATTTTAAAACGAATAACAGGCATAATTTCTTATGAAAAGATTCGACTCAAAGATTATAGAAATACTCAAGATGTGCATAACAGATTATATCAATTTATCGAGGCTCTCTCGGTTTTTTCCATTGTAATATTTACGCCAACCCAAATTCAAATAGTAAATATTTAATTTTAACCAAGTCAGTAAATGTTTGTAGCAAACTGTTAAATTAGCAAACTTATTGACTGTTTACTATTAACATATGTTCTTCTTCTCACTTTTAATTTCTGACAACAGCTGGAGTTTCATAACAATTTTTATTTCCCATGTTAATCTTATGGAGAAATACAAAACTTTAAAGGGCCCCAGGGCCTCACTCTCTAATTATTTCCGTGAAAAGAAAGTGTCCTGCACATCTTCACGTTACGCTCTTTCCAATGACACCAAAAACATGTCAATCGGTTCAGTAGTTTCGGAGGAGTAATTGTCACAAAAACCCTGCTTGCGTATTAAATAAGTACTAGTGTCCCTGTTGCTCAAAATCGAGCAATTGCTAAGTACTACAGGCGTTATTTTAAAACGAATAACAGTCATAATTTTTTATGACTTTATAAGATTCGACTCAAAGATTATGGAATACTCAAGATGTACATAACAGATCGATATAATCAACATTTCTTGTAAATATCTAATCTTTTTTCAAAAAGCTGATCTTGTTTTTTTGTATTTTCTTCAAATAGACTTACTCATAGCCGCAATAGGTTGTCCATAATAACGATTAAAAATAAAAAAAAAACAACATTATTTCTATTTCTTCTCCTTGGTGGTGTTCTATGACTTTCCTATGTTTCCATAGTTTGCAAATCGGCTCTGTCAATGATTACCAAGAAATGCAACACAGTGATAATTAAGTTTTCTTTTTAGTAAATCAATTTTTCCAGGCTCTCTCTCGTTTTTTCCATTGTAATATTTATGCCAACCCAAATTCAAATAGTAACTATTTCATTTTAACCAAGTAAGTAAATGTTTGTAGCAAACAAACTGTTAAATTAACAAACTTATTGACTGTTTACAATTAACATATGTTTTTCATCACACTTTTAATTCCTGAAAACAGCAGGAGTTTCATAACAATATTTGTTTCCCATGTTAATCTTATGGAGAAATACAAAACTTTAAAGGGCCCCAGGGCCTCTTCCTCTAATTATTTACCTAAAAAGAAAGTTTCCTGCACAACTTCACGTTACGCTCTTTCCATTGACACCAAGAACATGGCAATCTGTTCAGTAGTTTCGGAGGAGTAATTGTCACAAAAAACCTGCTTGCGTATTAAATGACAGCTGACAATAAAACTCATGCATCATAAAAATTTATTTTAAAGTGACATTTTTTTAAGGATAGGACATTTTTGTGTCATTTAATATGTAATGAATTTAATTTCAGTTCATTCTTTTAAATTTTGGATTTCATCTACACACTTTTTCTGTGTTTAAGAAGTTGTTGAGCTAATTTTATGACTGACTCAACATAATGAAAGAAAAAACAGCAGTGAAAAAGATACTACATAAATAAGCCTATATAGCTAAGTGTTTAAAAGAGAATGTTTATAGACTGTACCAAGTAAGTAAAAAAAAAATAATAATAATTACATTTTAGTGTAAAAACACATACAAGTGTAGTATTAATGTGGTGACGATACTATTGATTTCTGAGGAGGGTAAGTAACAAGTAGCCCAGTTAAATTAGACTAATCATGTGAAATAATTACTAGAGAGTGGGGACTTAATAGCTCCTTTTGTTCATTAAATTGAAGAAAATAAAAAGTCCTGATGGGTGGGGGTCGAGCTTGACTAAGCTGGGGCTCTAAATGTTATTTTTTAGTTTTTCGATTATACATTGGAATCTCTCTGAGTGATATTAAAAAGTGTTATACACAAAAGTTAAAGCTGACAAAATTCCTCACAAAAAGATTCCATGCACTTTTGTCGCAGGACTTAAACGTTTAGGGCAAAAGGGTAAAAAAAACAATATTTTAAAAATTGTGTTTAATTTGCATTTAAAAGTAAAAAATTTCTGTTTTTGAAGTTAATATTACTAAAAATAATGTTAATGATTGCAAACATTGGTCATATCTCTTAAACCGGGGATCCGGGGGTTCTTCAGGGTAGTCCTCATTCACGGAATCGTTGTCTACCGAAGGGTCATTGGTGCACGCTCCCTCGCCATTTCCGCAAGTTGTTGAGCAGTGGATCCCTTATTTATGGCATTCACAACCTTTTGTATAGTTGCAAAAGATCGTTGTGAGGATAGCAGCCAGAGTAGCAAGATAAGTAAGGGGACAGGGCATTAAGGGGTTGTAGCTGTCCTTCGATGCCCGTTGTCCAACCCTAATGTTGGTGGTATTTTTCCAGCCATTCTCGCACTTGCAAATATACTGTAACGAATGTTGCTTTGCAGAGACTTTTATTTGTGGTAGGTAGAGACGGGAGGTCTGCCTTCAGCCTAGTGGTGGATTTGATAAATGCAATGTATCAGTGTTTTTCCAGATATTTTTCTCGAGATTTGTACATCGCCAGGATCATCTGCTCACTGGCTGTCGAGATTTCCTTTTGCGCCGAAGTCGAGCTGTAAAATACATTGGAGATGGTATCCCAACTGCTATCCCTACTTAACAATTTCACAAATGATGACTTGTCTTTTCTAAATAATGACGAGGTCACACCCACTAAACCCGTGAATTAACAATATGCTTCTGTCATTCTGTCAAAGTCACATTTCTGTAATTCAACGGAGGAATACGTTCTGCTTTCTACTTTACGTTTTCCTGGTTTAAAGAATATGCAAACTTACTCGAGTGGAGCTAATGCAATCAGCAGGACCAGCTTCAAAGCATATCATATATTTGTTAATCTACATCCGTTCCAACAATAGCAACATGGCCACGGAATGCTGCTTTTTCCACTGCACACCGTAAAATTGTTGTATCAGCTTCAGCCTCAGCCTGTCTGACTTAAATACCCTCGGAGATCATTTTCTGACACAGCATATTCATGAACCTGGCTTATTTTTGTCATAACAAAGAAAGTTTTCTTGCTGTACTGTTATTTCTTCAGTTAAATCAATGTGGAAATGGTCTTGGTGGTGGCTCGTCGTTGTTGTTCAGCATGTTTTGTGCTGTTGACAGTATCTGAGTAACCATCAAACACAACAGTGCAGCACACATTGGTTAATTACAACTGAGAACTGAGATGCGTGCAATATAAGTCCAGATCGGACATGGTTGTTCCTAGGGCTGAAATGCTTAGAAGCTTTTTGTAGGGAATTTTGTCACCTTTAACTTTTGTACATAACACTTTTTAATTTGACTTAGGCCATCGACACACGGGAATACTGTTTTCCAACTGAAATCGACAACTAGTTGGACAAACTAGTCGCCTGTGTCCCGACCAATGTAGTTATGTGGGACAGTGCACACGGTGCGACTGCGATGCGACCAGTCGGCGATCAGTCGTTAAGCAACCGGACCTGCCGGTTGCTAGGTGATTTCAGTCGCCTGGTTTGAACAACTTTTCCAGTATTTTTGTGAATATTGTAGATTTTTGTGAATATTGTAAGTATTGACATCCTGTACATAGACTGAAATTATGCGTCTGTTTCTTGTGATGCAGCAGCAGCTACAAACAGCCTACAATGAATATTTGTTTTAACATACGGATGTACCCAATACCTTCTGTGTCCTCTACACTTTCTTGATCGTCTATAAAACACCAGGGCTTCTTAAACACTACTACACATTTCAAACACCATACACAGTACACAGTATCGTTATGATAAAATTTGAACTCGTTCATTGTCTCAACTCAACTACAATTATTTCGGTCGCGCCCGTGTGCGGATTTAACCAACGCAACTGCAATCGTAATCGCGTCAAAAAACAGTTGGTTCAACTTTAGTTGGGTTTCAGTCTTCCCGTGTGTCAACCGCCTTACAGATTCCAATTTATAAGCAAAAAACTAAAAAAAGTCACATTTAGAGCCCTTCCCTTAGTCAAACTCAACAACTGAACCCATCAGGACTTTTTATTTTCTTCAATCTTCAAGTTCCAACTCTCCGGGAATTATTTCACCCTAATGGCATTTTTTGGTTTATTTGACTGTGCTAAAGAACAGTGACAGGGTAAGAATAGTGGCAATCCATCTTTTTTAGGCTTTCTGTAAAAGTTTTTTTGAAAGAAAATGTTTTTATTTCCAAAAGTTTCCTGTCTGAACAGTTATGACAGGCTCGTTCAAGTTGTATTCTTACTTAACATTATTATTTTTAAATAATTCTTGTTGTGGTTTACAGTTCTTACAAAAATTCAAGCGGGCTCAATCGGCGAATGGATTTATACATGAAGGAAAATAAACACATAAGGAAGTAAGTAAAATATTTTTACCATTAGAACCAATTAGATTTTCTAATTTCTCTCAATTCTCCAATTATCATTCAATTTTTTAATTCTTGTTTATTCAATCATTTTGGTATGTTATGTAGTAAATTAGTTTTTATTATAACACAAATAATAGCCGTTAGTTCTATAAAAATTCTAAAGCACAAATCCCATACATCATAAATTAGTTGCAGTTTTTCTCCTGATAGCCAAAATGAATGGTGTACCATAGTTGGAACTGTTGTATTTGTATCATTTACTGTATTTTTACTGAATATTTTATCAGCAATTAGAAAGTTATAACTAGAAATAGTTAACTATAAATATAACTGATGGTTTGAACCATTTTTTAAATTAATGGTAGAATGTGACAAAATACTCGTAACTGTAGCCTACAAATTATCAAGACTATTAAAATAGTAGTGAAAGTAAAAATTTTTGGTGGATGGTTATTATAACTACTTTTATGGCGGTAAAATAAGGCATTCCCAGTTAGATGACAAAATGTTTGTGTACCAATGTATTTAGTCCATCCTTATTGGAAATATTACCAAAACATCAAGATAGATTGCCAAAGATGGTAACTCAGTGTAGTACAGTAGAACCTCTCATATCCGACCTTTTCACTGTTCTGTCCATGGTCCCGGTACCAAGGTTGTACTGTAAGCCAAACATTGCTGATTTGAGACCAATACTGCTGTCCTCTCTGGCCTGTCCAGGATGGTACATTATTTTCCTTAAATCAACACAGACCACGGTTCTATAGGATGACAGACTATTGGAGTCAAAAGTTTCAGGCCAAGAGCTAACAGTTTACATTCGCTTCAGCAAATTAGATGTTATATTAATACTTCAGCTTATGATTGCCCAAAAATTAGTATGTCACTCATAAACTTCAATAATCTTAGGCTCAGTGGGTAGTCCAAAAGAAGGCCGCCAACCTTTATTTGGTTAGTAAAAAGAATTACAATGAAAATAAATACTCTCCCAACTGTGAGGAGATGAGGGGAGATGCTCCGGTTTTTGAAGAATGTTTTAGAATGAATTTCATTTACAAAATGTTTTGTTTTGAATATTTAAGATTATGTATTCAATTTCAAATTAATTTATTACAAATAAAACACTTGCTTTTTTACATTATTGTAAGTAAACAAGAGCATTAATCTATCAGTTCCAACACAATCTGTTTAGGTATAATTCATTATTTTAATTTGTTCCATTGGCAGCAATTAATCAGTTGGTACCTTGTGTCAATAGCCTGCATTGAATGGTCTAGATTTCATGTTATCTTATGCAATATTGTAATTTCTATCATGTTACACCAGTCCTGTTTTTTCTTATTAACACGTTCGCTGAGGCACATCAAATGGCAGAAATGGCAGGTGTATACCCAGTGCGGCGCAACCCGCAGCTTCGATTGCTTGTGATTGTATTGCCAATTGGAGGGAGAAAGACGAGACAACAAGTTGATTTTTAAGCTTGCCAGACGGGGATTTTACGGGGAAATTTGCTACCAACCTACACCACAACAAAAAGCAAGTGCCACACTACACGACAACGTGGTATAGGTCCGCCTTTGACCGACGCTAGAGCAAAAACGAAGATATACGAAAGGCATTGCCGAGCGTTCCCTATCGGGTATGGACACACCCTACGGGCGCCGAGCACCGTACTCGATTGGGAACGGCCGCACTCAACGTGTTAAAGTAAAAAAGTTTCATAACGGTAATGCTCCAAAAGATTTGTGTATGGCTGTTTAAACCTGAAGACAGTCTTATGAAGTTTCAGTCATAACTGTGAAGTTTCATTTAGAATATTATTTTTGAACACATAATTAAGTTTATTTGATCGATAAATAGGTTTGTAGTGAATAATAAAAAAAAACACGTGTTACTTTAAAATTCTCTAAAATTTGTGATTCCATAAACAATATCATTAAACTCTTAAATAATTTTTGAATGCAGCAATTTTGAATGGATAAATAATTCAAATGTTTCGAATGGCACATTTCACATTTGCACACCACTAGTGATGAACACCTGTTTCCTCCCCTCATCCTCAACCTCTTCAGACAACCTAGACACCCTTCGTATACTTAATATATACTACTAACATTATTATCAAGCTCATCTCCAACAGTGTAGCTTTTTAGTTCAACGGGATGCATTGTTCGCAGTTCAGAACGCATGGTGGATGACCAAATCTCTATCGCAGTGGAGACAAGGGAACACCTCGTCTCGCAACGACTCAGTATGAAACGGATACAGACTCGCATTCACGACTTGGGGAGTCGCTTCCCTGTCGTCAACAGTCTTGTACAGAGGATAAATTTGCGCAAACGTCGAGACTCTCTCATCATTGGTCTAGTAGTTGGCATTTGCACATTCCTTATGCTGCTATATCTTTTCCACTAGACTTGTTGTTAATTATGTCTCCTCTGAAATCACACTGGGTATTTATCAAACAAATATAACATTTTTCGGGAGTTTAAGAAACAAAATAAATGACCATTTTGGAAAATAATGATTTCTATTGTAGTAACAATTTTCAAGATATTTTACCTTTTTACCTACAACTCTGACCTGCAAGGGATTCCCACTATAAATTGACAATATTGGTACTTTTTCTGAAAAAAATTGATTCTTTTATGTTGACAGTTTAAGGTCATCCCTCATTTCTTGGAATGTCACACCTCAAAAATGTTTAATGTCATAATCTTCCACTATACCCTTCAATCCAATCTTAAGATAGCATTTCTTTAATATAGAGCTATTATTGATTTGATCGAGACTTTTCACACATTACAATAGATTGTCACATTAATTAAACAGTCTTAACATCTAAATAATTATTGTGACGCTAAGATATACAATTTATCAGCTTTAAAAATTAGTCAAAGACAATTCTAAGCATCTTTCTGTCCTGTTGATGTAGCGGGCAGTGATTTTTGATGTGTACTACTTAATATACTTGCTATTTAACCAGCCTTAAAACTATTTAATTAAATGTAATATTTTATTTTTTTATTGTTTTTTCGAATTGTAACAAAAAAATAAAACACAATTTCATCCACCCTAAAATGATATAAAATATCTAGTCAACATGAGTTCATTTAAAAGTTACGGACATCAGACACTCACTCGTAAAACAGGCTTCAGATTTAACAATAGCATGAAAAGTCAATGATATAAATTACGTAAACGTTACCACATGTTACAATTTAGTATGTAGTTTCATTCTAAAAAGTTACATATGAGTTTTGTTAGATAAGTTTTTTCAAATATGTATAAAAAGTATACCTATTTTCAAAAACTTATTCCCAATGTGTTTTTTTATTTTTTAAATCATTAGTTGGATTGAAGTGGGGATGATGCCTTTTGATAATTTATTAGTGTAGATTGTTTTTAATTTATCTTTTTATGTACCATAACTAAGTTTTGTGCTGTTTAGACTGAGATTAATGGTGTCAGAAGAGCCTAAATGTTTAAATATGTGTATATAATAAATTAGTAAAAAATATTATAATCTTATATGTTACGAATAAAAGTTTCTATGTTTTTGAAAGTATATTTTTCATTACCTTTTTACTTCTTTTATTGTAGGGTATAAGATAGTCCAAATGTAGTCTAAAGGTTAATAAACCATAATTCAGAATTTTAAATTTTATCTTAAGTAAATATTCATTGTTTGAATATCAAGTAAAATTTTCTGGTGCAGTGTACATAACTCAAGATTGAGTCAAGGATATCATCAAGTCAGTAAAAAGATTGTGAATACTTATCACAGTCATTTATTGATGGTACCTGTTGAAAATGATGAAAATTGTCATCCATATTTTTGACTTGGGTTAAAGTAAATTGCACTGCATGTTCAGTTTACTTTGCTAAATACGTTTGTTAGCTCATCTTGTATAATGTTTCTTCCAGCCATAATGCATAATTGTCCAGGAGGGGAACAGCTGTCACACACTACTCAGTTTAAATGGCCCAGTGTATGACTGAACTACTTGCTTCATGCTTGAGTCGTCCCAACTAGTTTTTTTATTAGTGGCCATGCTGTTTTTAAATGTTTCCAAGGGAATGTGTTTCTGATTTTCTTTTTCTGCCATGATGTTTCTGGACCAGTTATTTGACATAAAAGGTAAAATTACCTGTTGCCGCCTTATGGCCCAAATTTATCCTACTATTATGCACATTTTGGTGCATCAATCACCATCGTAAGATCCGTATAGAACTATTCTACACCGTATAAGAACAACTTATTAACATTTTCTTGTATAGGGGCCACAAAAGAAATTTCTGGAGAGTATCTCTCCTGTCTAGATACCCCGGTTGGAACTAATAAATTCTGAATCCTTTGAACTTAATTAACTAAATATTTAAATAAACTGATACTTTCCAAAACTACACATAGTTGACAAAATAGTAAACTACACAATACTTTATTGAACAATGAAGAATGTAGAGATACAATCCAGTATGGACTAAACAGAGCTTGTTAAACAGGTTTTGTGTGATTTTTTTCGTTAGGTGTATAAGTTTTGGGGGTGTTAGGGGATCCTGGTTTTTCACTCCCAGGACCAGGATTTATACTGCAGCTCCAGAAAAAATCTATAAAAACGCCAGCTGACCTCAACCCTACAGAAAGCTGCAGAGAAGCTTGTAAATAACTGAAAATTATGACTCCACTATACATCTTTACGGTGATTAGGCTAACTTTACAAAACATATTGAACTCACAAGAGGTAAGATATCCACTCCTACACTCGTAGAGCTACATACTACCACAGAGAAGTAACATTCGGAGGATACATTCAATGGTACTCTTAAGTGGTGTCTAGAGAAAATTCTGTTCGTCATTCCCTCCCGTTCTCCTTTTCCTCATCATCACATACTACAGCGCTCACGCTGTAGGAAGACCCTTGTAGGAAGTGCGTTACAACTGGTGAACAAAAATTCTATACGGCCATCGCTGTTCCGGCTCTTTCTTGCTCGGTACAAGTACCGGCAATGCTGGCATGTACCAGTCATTTCTGTACATTTACACCCCACCATACCAGAGCTATAGGCGCACGGTTGTCCCATAAGATATCGCAAGAATAAGATGGTTGTATAAGATTTTGCAAGAAATAAATACAAGCAAGCTATCCTGAATACAAAGATGACGGCAAATGAAAACTTTAATGATACTGGAGGAAACAAGATAAAAAGCAGCGTAGCAAGTAGTGAAGAAGGAATGTGGACTGACCAAAGAGAAAATTATTCCGACTCCAGAGGACATCAGCGACTTCCTAGTTGACTTTGTCTCAAACATCAAAGGTCTCGTATCGCATTCAACAACAACGGCAGACGAACCGATGCAGGAAAAAAGTGCTAGTGGATGAAAAGCAGAGCTTTGTGTGGCAGAGTGTGTTGCCAAGTGACATGTCAAGCATTTTATCCAAAACTAAGCATTCAAGAACAAAGGATATTTATGACATGTCAAATGATTTGTTAAAACATGTGGGAGAAGTTCTCCTGGTTCTATTGTCCTTGCTGATCAATGCTTGTTTTGTATGAGGGTGAGTTTCCAGACAAACTTAAAGTATCTAAACCTAAACCAATAAGTCTGGAGATAAGAAGGGGCCCGCTAGCTACAGGCTGATAATAGTGGTACCCATCAATGCAAAGGTGGTCGAGGTAGTGATGAAAACACAGGTTGGTGTCTACTTTATAACAATAATTTAATGTCTACAGCTCAGTTTGGTTTTAGACCCTGCATGTCTACAGGCGATGCAGTTGGGGATCTTGCTTTCTCAGTAATTGAAGGTTTTGAGGGTGGATTGTCTACTCAGGCCGCTTTATGTGACCTAAGCAAGGCATTTGACTGTGTCGACCGTGGAATACTTTTGAAAAAGTTAAACTACTATGGCATGATTGGCAACGAAATCAAAATTTTTGAATCATTACATTACCAATTGGCAACAACAAGTTTATGTAGGAGACGCAAAGTCTGCTGCTATCGAGGTGATGTATGGAGTGCCACAGGGGTCGGTCTTGGGACCATTTCTGCTTTTAATAATGGTGAATGACTTGCCCGAAAACATATCTGCAAGTACTATCATGTTTGAAGACGATGCAACTTTTTTGCATCAGGAAAAAATCATGAAGTCTTGTCTAACCAAATGAATAGTGTAATATTAGAAAAAGCATCTGAGTGGTATACTGCAAATTCCTTCTTAATGTAAATAAAACACAGAACATGATTTTTTCTCATACAACACTCATAAAAAGGTTGACAATGATTTGAGTGTTAAACTTCTAGGGTTTTATCTGGACCCAAAGGGACCCATCTGGACCTATCTGGACCCATTATAATCCGCACCTTTTTAGTTGCTGGTCTCTTGAAATATACAGAGATAATATATTACTAACGTATGTCAAACTCTTTTTACTATTCAAAGCTTCATGCATGTTTTATTTCTTTTAAAGAGGGCCAGGCTTACAAGTGACCATGCTTATGGTGCACCCTCTTTCACAAGTCCTCATTCTCCGTCAAATCCCAGGTCCTTGGTGAACCATGAGATCCTTTTGACTATGGTTACCTGTTCTTCCCCTTTGATCTCCAGTCGATAGGCCAAGAGATCTCATACGCAGACCTTGTAGGGCTTCATAAATATCACGTGGAAGGCTGTCTCCTCCTCCTCTCCACATTTCTTACATAAGAGGCTTTCAACTTGAATTCCTATCTTGTGTAGATGTCCGCGGAATACCCAATGGCCGCTGATGAAGCCAACCACCTTCCGCAGGGTCTTCCTATTCAGCCCAAGGGCATCTGCAGCTATCGCACCGGCAGGTGTCTGCTTTGACTGTATATTGCCTTCTGTTCTTTCTCAGCTCCCTCGATGTTCTATGCCCATCCACTGGCGAACAGTTCTCCGTGCTGTGTTGTACGCAATACCACATGTTGGCTCTGGATCCATGAGCGAGCTTTCAGCTTCTTTGTTTGCCCACTTGTCAGCTCCCTCATTGCCAGCAATACCTTTGGATCTTGGAACCCAGCTGGATAACATTGTTGTTCTCATGCAACAAAAACAGTCCCATACAGCCTTAGAAGTAAAGTAAATTCTATCAAGTGCCAGTAGTGCTGCTTTTCTGTCCGAGTTCATGTATGTGGCCTGTCAGACCACGCTTCAAACACACTCTTGCACACTCGGGTAGGGCAACAACTTCTGCCTGGAATACAGTGGCCAGTTTCCCCAGGCTTATGCAAAACTGTGCCTTGCGTCCGACTCCATATATTCCCGCCCCAGTGCCCGTTAGCTTTTTCGAGCCATCTGTATACCAAGTGATCCCCCTTTTCATGTATTCAGGTTCGACTTTATCCCAGGCAGCCCTATAACAATGTTGACATTGTATGGATTCTCTAGATCTGTGATCTTCACCATCCCTGTCAGGTAACATTTTCAAAGTGTCCATCTGCACCTTCTCCACAATTCTTGTGTGCTCACTGGAGGCATTATACTTCCAGTTGCCACTGCAAACCATTCTGTAGGCTGCCATCCTTGCCTCCCCTTTCACAATGATGTCGAGAGGTGGCAGGTTTAGGATTACTTCCAGGGTTGCAGTTAGAGTGCATGGCTCCTGTGATGCTAAGACATGCCACTCGCTGGATCTTCTGTAGTCTCTTTACAGCGGTAGTTTGCATTACCTTGGTCCACCAGACCACCAAGCCATACACCATCATCGGTCTTGTAACCCTAGTGTATAGCCAGTTAATCATTTGTGGGCTTAGACCCCAGGTCTTCCCAACAGCTCACCTCATCATCATAAGTGTGGTCTGAGAGCGTTGCGTTATATGAGCCAAATGGCTGTTCTAGGTGAGCTTGTCTTCCAGCCTTATTCCTAGGTACTTGAACTCCCTCTTAACCTGGATCTGATTACCGAAGAGAGTTGGTACTCTGGCGATATCAAAATTTTTCTTCCTTGTTTGTAAATGGTACCATTACAGTCTTCATTGGATTGACCCGCAGACCTTCCTGGTTACATCATCTTCCCTCTCACTATCTATGGACAATGCCCTCCGCGTGAGTTCCAGGCAAGTGTTTATAATTTTTCCTCTTATTAAGACAATAATGTCGTCAGCATATCCTTGAGCGTACATGTCCTGGGCATAGATCTCGGACAGGAGATCGTCGACCACCAGGTTCCACATATTTGGTGACAAGACACCACCTTGTAGACACCCTCTTTGGGCCTGGATCACCTTTTTAGTTGCTGGTCTATTGAAATATACAGAGATAATATATTACTAACGCATGTCAAACTCTTTTTACTATTCAAAGCTTCATGTATGTTTTGTTTCTTGCTGAAAATAACCCGATTCTTTAAAATTACACATTCACTAAACTCGATTTTAGATGTTTTTAGGTAATTGGTATTGCTAGATCCAAATTGTACATGGTAAAATAATAAGTTACTCCAAATAAATTATAGAAAGTACAATATTTGTAATTTCATACCTATTTTATTATGAATGAATAATATGAAAATATATTATATTAAACATTTGTGAATAGAATAATT